AGAAACGCCTGGCAGGCTGGCTTTGCGGAGGCATTGTACACGCCTACGAGCAGGCAGTGAGAGCCTGTCCCACGGGGTTCCGTGCGCACTCCACACGAGCTGTGGCTGCGTCGACAGCTTTATTCAATGGTGTGAGTGTGGAGGACATATGCACGGCGGCGTCTTGGTCAACGCCAGGCCCCTTCATAAAGTTTGATCTCTTGGATATGTCTGGCTCTTTCTCAGCGTCTGTGCCTGCTGGGGCAACACAGGACTGGTGAGGAAGGGGGGTCTGTGGGTCAGTGGGCATCTGACCCCCTCCCCGGGCTTAAATGCGCTTACGTTTCACTGGACTCCTGGAGGGTCGCGGGGTGACGTAATGCGCTTTGGGCCTTTACAGGGCTAAAGGGCTCCCCTCTTCTGCCTGGGGGCAGGAGGGGGAGAGCCCACCATACTATAGTCCGTACACACTCTGCACGGGTCAGTGTCTGAGTGTGGGGACATAGGGGGCACTTGCGCTCTCCCCGTGCTCTTTAGGGACTCAGGAGAGAGTGAACCCATACAGGGCTGCAGACTTTCCCTGTCTGCCTATAAGCGGACGCGGGGGAGCCCTCAGCACTGTTTTCGAGCACACTTTTTTGCGAGGCAAGCGCGTCAGGATGTGCTCTGTCGGCCGCAGCCCAGACTTCTCCACGGTTATAACCGAGGGAGAGGTGAGTGAGGCGCAGCGGCTGCTAAAGCCGGTCAGGGACAGTGAGGTGGAACGGTGTGCTGGACGACAGTGCGTGCATACATCGGGGCTCCACCCACTGTACCCATAGAGTCCAGTAGAGGGCGGAGCCTGTGAGAGATATAACGCCGGGTTATAATATATATACGGATATGTAACCCTTGTTATATTAGCACAGGCGGAGCCCTCTACCTTGGGGCACTGTCTGTCCTATACCGCTCGCTGAAGAGTGGTGAAGGATGATGGTCAGGAGGCGGGGCCTTCTTTTATACGGAAGTGAGATGCGCACGCATTCAGGTAGGCCCGCCCCGGGGCCGGCTAAGTCTATAGAAATCTCAGTAGGTGAATGCTTGCATGATAAGGTAGTACCCATAGAGTCCAGTAGAGAGCTCCGCCTGTGCTAATATAACAAGGGTTACAATACGTAACCCGGCGTTACACACAAACCAATAAAGCCGTTATAAGATAGTCATTAAGGCTAGTCACAGAAAGGAGGCTATTTCTATATCTTTATTCACTTTTGTTTTAGCCTGCTTGAGTGCTACAGTGTGACAGATAGCATCAGCTAACAGACAATTTGATTGTGTGCACATCTTTTAAATGACTATAATGGTCATTTTTGTTTTCCTTAACATTTATGTTTGAGGCTGGATTAACTTTATTTAGTAAAATATAATATCTTTAAAGACAATGGAAATATATAGATTTAGTTTGTTTTATTGGGTGTAGGTCAGTGTTTCTCAAACTTTTTCAGACCGCGGACCACTTAGCCAATAATAAAACACTCGCGGACCACCTAACTCCCCAAATATCCTAAATAAAATAATAAGCCTGTTTACCACTCCAACAGTATATTAAAAATTACAGCATAATAATGACAACTTTGTGTGAACTTCTCTATCGCTCGTTCACACATTAATCGACAATACAAAACAACTACAGATTCTACAAGCATTTTGTTCATATGCGATTTAAACGGTAAATGCTGATAGATTTGACACATCATATGAAACGTAGACTACATTTATTATGGAGTTAATGTCCGTGCGAACAGAGCCGCAATTTACTGACAGCAAGATCGTTTGCTACTGAGAGATATGCAAAATACACCGCATTTAGTACGACAAACTTCCGCTGCGGATTTTCAAAATAAAATACAGTAAAACTATGGTTGCAGTCCCAAGTTAAATAGGAATTTAACAATAAACACAAGATAATTATTTACACTGTTACATTTACAAATAGCATTGTTTACTCACTCATACACTGCGTGTCTCTGTTGCCAACTAATGGGAGGAATGGTGCTGCTTGTGCTGAGACATCAGTGAAACAATGTCGGGATCCAAACTGGAGAGTTTGAGTCTCATATCACAGTCCACATTGATCCTGTTACGCTGCTTTGTTTTCAGACCAACAAGTGCAGAAAAACCAGCTTCACAGTTGTAGGTGGTTGGAAACGGCATCAACTGTTTCAGAGCAGCGTCAGCCAGCTCTGGGTGCTCAGGCTGGACGTGGACCCAAAAGTCTGTCAAGCTTTTCTCTCTGAAAGTCGTCCTCAGTGGCCCATCAGATGCGATGTCCACAAGGCTGTCAACCTGTCTCGGTGGGAGCTTGGAACTGACATGTTCAATGTGTGTTTTGTCCCCAAATGGATTCCTGATCCACTCAAAGCCTGCATCTAGTTCTGGGAAATATCTTCCCAGCTGAAAGTGAAGGCCTTGCAGATGTTCCTTGAAGGCTGCAACTGTGCCGCCGTCCAGCTCTTCATCTGCAGCGAGGAGAAAATCCGCCAGCGTCGGAAAACAGTCAAACTCCTGGCGATCCAGACGGACACACCACAATTCCATCTTGAGGCGTGCAGCTTTAATTTTCTCCTGCACATTGAAAACAGTAACAGCTTTCCCCTGCAGCACTAAGTTCAGAGCATTGAGAACGCTAAAGACATCGGCCAGGTATGCCAATTGTGAGAGCCACTGGAAGTCATGCAGTCTGTCATACAGTTCATCAGTATGATGCAAGAATAACATCACCTCATCGCGCAGTTCAAATAGACGGGTGAGAACTTTCCCACGCGACAGCCAGCGAACTTCAGTATGAAAAAGCAGTTGTGTGTGTTCACTTCCCATTTCTTCACACAGAGCTTTAAAAAGACGTGTGTTCAGTGCTTTGGTTTTTATTGTATTCACAATTTTCACAGACTGGTCCAGTACTGATTTGAGGCATGGTGGCATTTTCTTCACAGCCAGCTGTTCTCTGTGAATGCAACAGTGTGTTGCTGTGGCGCAAGGTGCAACTGCGCGTATGCACGCTGCCAGTCCCTTATGTTTTCCAGTCATTGCAGTCGCACCATCTGTGCAAATACCAACACATCGTGTCCAGTCGATATGATTCTGCACCATGAAATTGTTGACCGAGTCAAAAATGACTTCCCCTGTGGTGTTGGTCGGCAGGGAACGACAAAAAAGAAATTCATCCTGCACACCGCCAGCATGAATATACCTTACAAAACACAGCAGATTTGCCTCGTTCCCGATATCAGTTGACTCGTCCAGCTGCAGTGTGAAAAACTGGCTTTGGCGTAAACGTGTGATCAGCTGATTTTTCACATCTTCAGCCATGGCTGTTATTCGCCGCTAGACAGTGTCATTAGAGAGTGGGACCCTGTTAATTTCGTCACTTGCGGTCTCCCCAAACAATATGTTAGTCATAACTTTGGCAGCTGGTTTGACTAAATTCTCACCTATCGAATGAGGTTTTCCTGCTTTTGCAATTAGAAGGGATACCCTGTATGATGCCTCTGTAGCCTTCGCATTTTCCCCCGGTACAAAAAACTGTGAGGGCGCCTTCGTCATTTGTTTCTTAAATTCATCAAGTTTTCTCTCAAAAACTCCCAAATGTTTCCCAATGTAATCCTTGTGTTTACTTTCAAAATGTCGCTTGAGCTTGGCAGGTTTCATAGCCTCGTTCGCCAACGACTCGTAGCACAAAACACATTGTGGATTGGGATCCTCTTCATCTCCACTCCAAAAAAAGCCAAATTTGATGTAGTCGCTGTGATATTTTCTCTTCACTTTAGCGCTGGACTTTCTGCATTCAAGCCGAGTTTCACAGCTTTCAGCCGGGTGGTTGTTAGACAGTGAACCACTCTCCTGGAACTCAGTAACGCACACAAAAGCACTTGTTGCTGCTGAATCACCTGCATCAGGACGATGCACCTTGACTGTTGCATCCGATTTTTCATTTAATTTTCTTTTAACTGACCCTGTCTTTAGCCATCGATCCATCTTGTCAGTTGACCGGTCTTTTGTTTATTTTTTTTAGTTGACCGCTCAAATTGACCGCGCAGATCATTTATGACATAAGACGTAAAACAAACGTACGTACCTACGTACCTACGTACATACACTACATCTATGATACACTCTATACTAGTAATTTTTTTAACAGTTTGAGAAACACTTTAAACTTATAATATATATGAATTTCAAATGTGGCATTTTACCAATATACTCACGGACCACTTGGGGCCGCTCGCGGACCACCAGTGGTCCGCGGACCACTCTTTGAGAAAGACTGCTCTAGGTTTATGTTTGGTATTGTTTATAGAAGGCAGACTATAAATGAGGCTCCCAGCGTCACACAGCAGGAAGTCTGGGGAAGGTCGGAAAACGTTTTTGACCTCACAACGACACGCCTGTTGGTTTTGTTTGTGTTCATTTATTTAAATGCCGTGCAAATGTTGTAATGCGGTAGTGGGCTATACCAACTGATCAAATGAACTATTGAATAAAGCTCTTTGAATGGAACGATGGAAGGTATTTGGATTTCTTAAGTTCACCCGAGTCAGCACTCAAATTCGTCTTGTAGGATAAGTGGCCTTTGAACATTGTGTCATAATCGAAAAAAAGGGCGTACAATATTAAAGCCAAGACACATAAAGACATGTATTTCACATTATAATTCAAAATACCCCACAGCATGTATTTTGTATTCATGTTGAATATAAACGTTGACAGGGACTGTGACGATGTATTTGCTCACATACATGTACGTGGTAAACTGTAATTATAACCCCTGACTCAGACAACAGGTCAGGTCAATATTTGAGTGGTTTTAGGGAATGTACTGTAACAAAACATTGAAGAAATAACTTATATGAAAACTATAATTTGATAGACAGCTATCAAATTATAGTTTTATTCTGAACAATAAAAAACAACCACCAGAGGTTGAAGAAGGGCTCCTGAGGACCAGGTGAATGCTCCTCTGTGGTGCCTCTGAAAGGACTCACCTCTCTGGAAGGCGCAGCAGAGGGGGGGGCTGCAGTCGCTCTGACCCTGACAGATGGTCCCCTCTGCTCCGGAGGTGGCGTTCACTGTACACTGGCCCCACACACACATCTGATCTGAGCAACACTCCTCATCCTTAGTGCAGGGCTGAGTTGGCACACACAGATATGCAGATTGTAACACAAATACACGGGAAAAGTATTTCTGTACCATCATACATCTTCACTGATCCTTTTGAATATTTCCAGCAAAAGGCACCATGTGTAGCTTTTAAACATTGATGTGTTAGATTAGATGTTGTATTTCTGCTGTCTTGACCATGTTATAATGATCTAACCCTTGAACACACACACAGAGAGCCACATGTACTAACATGCATGTGAGGCTGGACTGGCTCAGGTAGACATTACACTGAAGAAACTGAAACGTTGACTTTAATTAAGTGTATTATGTTAACAGAGTTATAGGAAATCTGTTGACATAATACACTTAATTGAAATCAACGGTTCACTTTTTTCAGTGTTTTACATCTTTACATGACAAATATTTGTTTGCTGCTATGTAAATGCAATACGTGTTGTATAGAACCGTTAGCTCAACAAATAAACAACACGTTTGAGTGCTCACCATATCTGTGGGGATGCAGGGGAGGCACTTGGAGCTCTGGATCCCATACAGGCAGTATCTCAGGGCCCCACAGTCCTCATCCACCATGCACTCCTGAGACAGAGAACAGGAGTAAACCAGGTCATCTATAACAGAGCACAGAATTAAAGTGGATCAACTGAAGGTATTAATGTTGTCGTCCTTAAACTCTTAATCTATAAGAAAAGTCCATTTAATTACTGTTATATTACACACTACAAAGGAATGCGTAATCAAATACATTTTAAGTGTACATGTACATTTGTCGGTATAACAGTAGCAGTTGTCCGAGGAGGATGTGGTTGCCAGCTGTCCATCACCATGGAAACTGTCTAATGGACATATCTATATTATTATCTGAATCTTTCACATTGCTTTCTTCTCTACACTTGATATCTTTGTGCATAGAACATTTGTTTTTAAAATGTTAATGTTTATGTCAAAGACACACACACACACACACACACACACACACACACACACACACACACACACACACACACACACACACACACACACACACAACACACACACACACACACACACACACACACACACATACACACACACACACACACACACACACACACACACACACACACACACACACACACACACACACACACACACTTGAAGCTGGAAATATTGACCACACAACACCCTGTAATTTTCTTAATGAATGGCAGATGACTACAGCTGTTATGTGTCATAGGCTTTCAATACAAATATTTTCAACAAATGACTTTGCAGAAAAGAAGAAGCACAGTAACATTGTGTACAATAAACCCTGTTTACGACTCTCTAGTTACATTACAGCCGACCAAGCTAAGCCCCCAGTGGGCTGTAAAATCACTTATAAAGATTATAAAGTTTTAATTATGATTTATTTGTTTTTTGGATGCAATTGTGCCTTTGAAAGTGTCATCATGGTTTGCTTAAATAGGGCGGACCACTTCATCAACAATTTCATAAATCAGACAAAAATAAGTAAAAAGATAACAGTTGCGTAAAATCAAGAGATAACAAGGCCTGTAATGATTCGATGCTGTGTCAGGATTATGAGACAAGTCATATCTAACTGGAAGTTAATTCACTTATGTAAAAACTAAACACATTGCTATATATTTCCATTTTCAGGCACTTTTAAAACTTGTATGGACGTCTGTTTAAAGCTGTCACAGCTTAAGGTGACATTACAAAGTAGGAACATTGAAGTGATACAGTAGTCACGCTGATAACGAACAATACTACTAACTACACACAGCCATCTCAAAACATCCACAGTTCAGCTCTCTTCATCCTAAATATACAGACAACTGGGTGTTTTCTGTAAAGTTCTGAGTCAGCCAATGCTACTGTGACTCTCCCTTGAGTAACATAAGTGAGACTCCATGTTGAGGATGGAATGTCTTCACAGTTAGTCATTCAGAGGTGCAGACCTTCTCCTTCCTGGCTCGCAGGCTGGCTGGCTTCCCTGACTTTTTTTCCTGCAGCAGGGTCTATTAACATAACCACTTTCTGTACCGCTGCCAGGAAAGCAACAGATCAAAACCACCGTGGTAAAGGAAAATGGCAAAACAGGCTGAACGCAGTAATAATGACTTCAGCCCAGGCTGGCCACTGTGGAAGTACATGCTGCATGAGCTCATTCGACATAAAACAAGCTGAGACAGAACAGCCACAGTCCGTCTCTTCTTACACACATTATGCATACTTACCAAACTGAAGGGAATACATTTCGATAAGTCCTTGAAGTTAATATTCAGCTAGAATGAATGCTGTTAAAATACAATAAAGACTCACATGTCTCTGCATTTACTATTGCCGCTATAAGAAACTGATTTGATCTGAAACTGGCGCGGCTGGATGTTTGTTTCTGCCTATTCCAAACACACTGGGGAAGCAGACCCAACACTTTGAGCTCAAAAAACCAACTCACAGCTGTTCTAAGTATTCTATAGTTATACATTATATCAGCTTTACAAGGAATTAACCCAGAATGCATCAGGCCAACAGTTGTCTAATTCCTCACACAGACCAGACTCAGACTCACGTGATCCCCTGAGTTCCAAGGGCCAGACATCTCCATGTGGATTTGTGAAAGATGAATGTCTCCTGTTTCATTATTAGCCTGCTGTACAGCACAATGTGACAAGTGTATCAGAGCTCAAACACAATAGCAGTTATATCTTTCAGGTTTATTCATGCAAAAAAAGGGGAAAGTATTTATGTTTCAGCACATTCCTAAACCCATAAATGTGGTTGTGACTCTGTGAACAAGGCTTGCTTTTCCATCATCTGATAATAACACATGTTATCATGTTTCAAGGGGGAGCATACGTTGTCAGCTCTATCCAGGACCTGAAGCAGTCGGTCTTCATCCTGTGTCATCTTCCTCGTCTCATCGTGGGGGTTAGTATGCAGATCCAGGAAGGTTGAAGATGATTTAGCACTCTCAGAAGTTATCTGTCGGGTGGAATGTTCAAAAATCTCTTAAAAAATAAACCCAGAGCATCTCCATGAGGATCAGATTTCAATAGGGAGAGGGGAATAAGAATCCTGCAGCTGGCTGTAACTGTGGAGAGTTTGTAGTATTCAGACATACTGTATGTATGTCCTGGACACTATGGTGTAATGTAGTGAAGTACATTTACTCAAGTATACTTAAGTGAGATTTGGGGCTACTTGTACTTTCCTTTAGTAATGCAATGTTATGCTACTTTATACTTCTACTACAATTTTGACTTCCAAAAAGTACAATTTTGGAAGCCAATATTGTACTTTTTGCTCCACTACATTTATCTGACAAAATAAGTTACTTTACATATTCAGATTATAGGCTAATACAAGATATAGATAAACTAATACATAAACTATGCAGTAGCAGTTTGTAAAGTAATACAAATGAGCTGTACCGTTAACAGTTGTGATGAACACATTAATGCATGCATAATAATAATCCAGTAATTTTATATGATTTTAAAGGGAAATGGAAACACTTTTCAAACTGCTTTCCATGCGACAATATTCCCATTAGGAAATGTATTTATCTAGTCTATTTCCAATGTAAACGATCGAGATACGCAAATTTATTTTTTGAAATACGTGCCTAATGACCATGGGCGCTTCCATTGCTCCGGGACTTTCCCAGTGACGTCCCTGAGTGGGTACGGCTTCCTGGGCCAAAGCTCAATAACAAACAACATGGCGTGCAATGCACCAGTAGTTTACATTACAAGAAAACGGTCGTCGTCAGGAGTTTATTGTATTGCCCCAGGCTGCACAAATGGATTTTATACGAAGAAGGAAGAAGTACATTTCCATAGGCTGCCACTAACGGATGAGAAGCTGCTCAAAGCATGGGTTATTTCCATGAAACGGTCCGATCCGCCGCTGAATCAGTACGCACGTGTGTGCAGCGAACACTTTAAAAATGACGATTATGTCCACAAAATGAGGTTTGATGAGTCTGGATGCCTGGTTCAATACAAAACATCGGATTTGAAGCCAGGATCTGTTCCCACAATATTCAATTTCTCAACGTATGCAGTCGGGAACACCGACCGTCCCAGCACGTCGGCCGCGCAAGACAATGACAGTGTCAACAAACGTGAAGTTCGAGCCACCAAACGAGTTGCTTCAGCTGCCGAGAGAGAAGTAAATATTGCAGCACTACCAGATTACTAGCTCACACATGTATTTACTGACACAGTGTGACCTTATTAATTAACGCAATCGCGTCCAAACTAAATGGTAGCTATTATTATGACGTACAATGGAGAATTGGGGGTGTTCTATAGCTCAACTAATTAAACTGGCATACACACGCTCATCTGTCGAAAACAGCCCTAAAAAGGCTAGTATTGCTGGACTAGGTGTTCAATGGATGGTATTGCCAAGATGTATGAGGTGTTGGAAAATAATACAAAATATATGTCAACTGACCACTGAGACCGAGTCGGTACTGGAACTGGTGGTATCCCACTCGGCGAGTTCAGAACCGTCGATACTTTCGGCGGATTCCGGATCGTATGCCACTCGAGTATTCGACCGAATCGGTTCATAAGCATAGGCCATGGGATGCCTGGTAACTGTAGATGCTTCCACATCAATCTCATCTCCCGACGAATAGTCAAATTCATCGTTCAAAACGTCGATCTCATTGCAAAATTCCTCCATCGCTGCCATATCTGCTACGTTGTGTTGACTTCCGGTATGGATACCCGGAGCGAAGACCCACCCAGTGACGTCACCATTTGGGACTCCCCTAATGGCGGCGGCCTGGTCCCGGAATTCCCCACCCGGCCGGCGGATAATTAATTTTCTTTTGGCGAGTAATATCATATACAATAAATATTACGATCAATATCCATTGTAAAATGAATAAACTACCGGAATATTATAGCTGTAATTGGTGTTTCCTTTCCCCTTTAAAATGGGAGCACATTTTGATGCATATTTTAGTATGCATAAAAAAAGGTCCCCTATTATACTGTTTCTCATCAATATATCACAGGTCTCAGATATATACAGAACCTGTCTCTGATTGGCTGAAACACCAAACAGATCATTGCAGCATTACCCATAATCCCCTCTGTTTCAGCCCTGTTTCCAAAGTGCTGATTCTCTGTCTGTTACTTTAGATGAAAATAAGGAGCCCCTCCCCACGCCCCTCTGAGCAACACACTCTCACTCCCTAAGCGTCCAGGAGCGACGTTTGGTCAGTGTCCGTGGCGTCCAGTTGTGACGCTCCTAGGCTCCTTCAGCTTCATAAAGGGACGCAAATAGCTTTCAACTGATTGCAATGTATTCCCATCTGCGGCGGGATTTGACGCTCATGGAAGCACGGCATTCGTTTGTGTCGGCTGCCCTTAAAGGCAATGTGAGCGTCCATTCCCATTGGATAACGGAGAATTGTACACCCGGAAGTAAGTATTCCTCTTACTGTCGATTGATTTTACAGTGATATCTGCACTACTCATCGACTAAAAAACACCAGATTATCCTTGTTAATTACACAACATTGATTGGTTTAAATTGTGTGCAATGCTTTTGTATTTTTCCCCTTCGATTCGGAGAAACAAATGTTTTTTCTGAGTAAAGGATGGCAGAAGACACTACACTACCCAGAATCCCCAGCTATCGTTTGGACTACACCATGTGCTCTGTTTGACAAACCCCGTGATAGTCCTCAAGCTCTGTGATTGGAGAGTGTGCTCCGAGGGTTACGCCGAGCCTCGAACAGCACTTGAAATGGGATGGAACCCAGGCAGACTGTCCAAAACTGGATTTGAACGGGTCCACCGCGTCCCCCCCTCCCCCACCCCATCCCCAGAACTACACATGCTGGCTATTCTGTTTCGCAACATGTTCTCTATCTATGGCACGTCTCTACTGGGAGTTGTAGTTTTAAAAGACGTTTTCGTATTTCCCATAATAAGAAGTTGCCAGTATTAAACTGTGTACATCCCTGGAGGTTTAGGGGATAGGAAACACTCAAATTTAAAACATATAATTAATAAATGGGTGAAAATTGCTTGTGCCCATAATGGGCAGCATTAATATATATATATACACACATGCCAGCTAAGGTCAGAAGAGCTTTATTTAACAACTGGTTTTATGTTTGTGACCCCTGTTGTTAATTGATAACATTACATTACATTAATTGATAAGCCTGAAACATGCACTTGTCAAGGTTCAGAGGCACATTTTGCAAATATGGCAGTAGCCATCGATCAGCTTAAGATAAGATATACTTTATTGATCCCAAGTTGGAACATTTGCGTTACATCAGCATGTGTAACAGTTGTAAATATGCAGTGGTGTTTATTTGTAAATCATTTAGTATAATCACACAAATTCTGTGTTTTATATTTAACAATTCTGTGTTCTTTATTTATTGATTGTTCAATACCTGACAAGGTCGGAGATGAAATATCTACATACATCTTATAAGAGTATAATACATTATGTATAATATCAGTTCAAATAAGTGCTTCAACATAGTTAACATTGCTGGAGGTATGCACAAATATTGATAGATGTCTTGTAATGCACTATTGAGGAACCTGCGACCCAAGTTTTTCATTCAATGCAGAACTACACCATAGTTGTGTAGGCCTATATGATATGTCAATAAACCTTAGAAAATCTTGAAAGGGATGTGAAAAATAGTCATTATATACAGTCTTTAATTAACTATTAGTAGAGAATAACGAGTAATGAATATACTTTATAGGGATCCTATTAATATCTAATAATAAAAATAATGAAATTCAATAACATGCTTTAACCACTAGGTGTCCCTTTATATCAGCTGTGCACCTTTATGGTGTAAATACAGCCTATCTACCAATTGGATCAAATATAAAAGTCAGCCGAATTAGTGTTGATACTGCAAGGAGACGTATTGTGTGAAAAGAAATGTAAGATGTTGTTTAATGGCTGATATATTTATGATCCACGTCACGTTTTCAGTTCCTCATGTTTGTCTAGAAGTCTTCTCATCAGGGCTCTATAAATACAGAACTACGGCAGATATGTAATATTTAATGCAGCCGAACCGTTTATTACAATGCCGTTATGTGATGACTTCTAAAGAGAAAAGCAAGCACACTCGGAATAAAGTATTATTTTATTTTAAAAAAAGTTTTCGGTCTGTTTCCGGTATTTGTTAATGACGATGTGCTGTGAGATGTGAGACTGGAATTGCACAGGGGAAAATAATGTAGGCTATCTTTAGATGCGGATTTTGTTAAACTAATATGTTTGCGCTGTGAACCAACACTATACATTGACGGGGAAGGGGGTAGCAATAAAGATAACACCATTAAGTTACACAACATAACAGAAATAATATCGATAGCAGCGTCCCTAGCAACCACCTTGGTAACAATGAAAACGTCGCGATTTCCTGAAGTAATCTTCGTAATAACTAACAAACTAAAGATCATGGACATCCACTGCACACATAATCTGAAATAACAACTCATATTTCTCGCATCAAATGACATCAAAACGCATTTTAATGGCCAAACTAACTTTAAAATTGGCATTTTCCACCGAGAATAAAACGAAGTTCGGCCATGTTTTCTTTTTCTGCAGGGAGAAATTTGAAGATCACGTGACATAGACGCCAGCCATTGGAATAAATAGTGAAAAAAACGGGGTTTGTCAAACAGAGCACATGGTGTAGTCCAAACGATAGCTGGGGATTCTGGGTAGTGTAGTGTCTTCTGCCATCCTTTACTCAGAAAAAAATATTTGTTTCTCCGAATCGAAGGGGAAAAATACAAAAGCATTGCACACAATTTAAACCAATCAATGTTGTGTAATTAACAAGGATAATCTGGTGTTTTTTAGTCGATGAGTAGTGCAGATATCACTGTAAAATCAATCGACAGTAAGGGGAATACTTACTTCCGGGTGTACAATTCTCCGTTATCCAATGGGAATGGACGCTCACATTGCCTTTAAGGGCAGCCGACACAAACGAATGCCGTGCTTCCATGAGCGTCAAATCCCGCCGCAGATGGGAATACATTGCAATCAGTTGAAAGCTATTTGCGTCCCTTTATGAAGCTGAAGGAGCCTAGGAGCGTCACAACTGCACGCCACGGACACTGACCAAACGTCGCTCCTGGACGCTTAGGGAGTGAGAGTGTGTTGCTCTGAGAGAGATTTGGTTACAAAGAACTCATTGGTGCTCTAGGAGGAGATTCAGGCCCCGGCCCCACGAGGACCCATACGACTAAACGCATAGGATTAATGCAAACGCAATCGCAAAAAAGCTTCCGTCCACACGCAATATTCACCGGATAGTAGCATGGATAGTAGGCTTGTTTGAGACAAGCGAGACCTGCACAGTTGCGATCAACGTCTTGCTAGTGCGTTGCATGATGGTTAGTCATTTTGTCCGACTTGCTCTGGAGGCTCGCCTACATGAGACGTTGAAATCTCGCGGGACAAAGACGCCCGCAGCCTTGAGAGCGAGGCGCGGCGAGGCGGCGCCCTCTCCACGGGCTGCGGAAGCGAAATGCTTGATGGGAAACGACTCGCTGGTATCTCGAGCTGAGCGCTCATTGGTGGTTTTTACCCCGTGCTGCTGATGAAACTCTCCAATTGGCTCGGCAAAAGTTTGTTGTTGTTTTGTGTCAGTTTTATGTCGCCACTTCCATTCACATTTTGCATCATTGTTCCACAATATTTATCATCATGAAATTAATATCCATATATTTTATACTATACTTGCACTGCTTACCGTTTTCATACTTTATATATCTTAGCATATTCATACACACTACTGCTCACAGGCTGCTGTGTATATCTAGTGTATTCATACCCCTCACTGTTTATTCATCATTCAATTCATTCTATATTGTATTCTGTAGATTGTGTACATTACTTTTCACTTTACTGCTTGTTGCACTCCTGGTTGGAAGCTAAACTGCATTTCGTTGTCTCAGTACCTGTAATATGTGCAATAACAATAATGTTGAATCTAATCTTGAGCAGGAACAAATTTATTTACTTAGTACATATCTGACATTAACGATTAAACACGTGTGCATTCTTTATAAATGCAAACCGAGTCAAGCCGACTCCGGAGGTGGCGGTATGCACCTTAAAGTTGTTGGCAATCCGCCAAAAAACCGAGAGAAGAAGAAGACGAAGACGAAGCCGACTCCGAGCTGTCCGACTTCAGGCCAGCTTTTGAGACCTCCCCCGGCTGCGATCGGCTACTCTTGTCTACTTTCGAGGCGAGCCGCAACGCGTCTCAAACAAGCCTAGTGTCTGTCTCATGCAGCAGCTGATCCAGTAATGAGCGACCCGGCCGACAGTAAAAATAAACATATTTATATCTAGTTTAGGTAGTTTGAGAGGTAATTAAAATAGCTAAGGGTGATGATCTGACTTGAAGTGTGTGTTTTACTCCGTTCACCGCCGCATCACAGCGGGAGGAGCTGCAGGTGAGCAGCGCTGCGTGTCTCCGTCCTGTCAGATTAGACTTCACTCGCGTTTAGGTCCATATCGAGAGAAAGATACATAATCTGAATTCAGTGTGCAGTTTACTTTGACGCGGGGGTGAGCAGCAGAGGTGAGGAGGCGGGGCTGCCTCATCATTATCAGAAAATGATCGTATAGGGCGTACACACGGAGCCGTTTGACCCCCAGAGCGTTGCGTATGCCGTTCTATCCACCTTGGGACCCGTTATCGTTACCGCAGTAGTTTAGTGCCGTATCCTGTCGTCCTAGTGTGGCCGAATGGTCTATATGACACAGAACGGTAATGGAGACGACCGTTATCGTCCTCGTGTGGTCGGGGCCTCAGGTGATAAGGGGGGGAGGGGGGGGGGGGTTACCTTGGTTGTTGATTGGCTAATGGTTACACAAGACAAAACATCGTTATGACATCATCAAGTGGCCAAAATCTGATCAGCTCATTTTCAGACAGGTTTTTATAGAAATGGATCAAAAAGAGAGAGAATCTTTGTTCCTGAAACTTTCAGTCTCTTTACACAGAGGGGGGGACACATGTATAAAAGACATGAACAAGTGGATTTTGCATAATAGGTCCCCTTTAAGTGTGATTTTGTATGTAGGATTTGACTTGTAACAGAGTATTTTTATACTGTAGCATTTCTACTTTTACTTAAAGAGTGCTTCTGTCCCCTCTGTCAGACAATACTTTAATAGCAACACACTTCTTAGATTGTTGAAATCTAAATCCTGGGAAGAAGACAAACCTCACTGTATCTAAGTGTCAGCTGAACAAAAACAAAGTGAGTATTTGTTGTCTATTAACTTTATTTTGACCGGACAAAATACATTATGAATAACATGAGGGCTATTATAGGCCATTCAGACACAGTGTGGGTCAGACATAGAGCATGCACGGAAACTATGTGTAGTGTCTGCTGGTCTAATCAACATTAAGAGGAGCACCACGAGATGTCCCCGACACAGATCATCTCCACTGCTATTCATTATAAATATGTACTGTATAAGCAAGTTATAAGAACTCTGCTTTGTTATAAATGTATAAAACATGCCGCAGACCTGATCCACAGCCTCCTCCAGGATGTGCTGTGTGTCCTCCATCAGCTCCTCCACCTCCCGGAACATGTCGTTCAGGCTGGCCGGGCCACGCTGCGGGGCTCCCGGCAGGATGTCAGCCCCGCTCCGGACCCACAGGCTCAGGGACAGAGAGACCAGCAGCAGCAGCCTGATCCCGGACATCTCTCCTGTCTGTGTGCCGTTCCACCGAGCAAAGAGCAGTGACGCACTGAGGGCGCACAGCTGCGGACGTTTTATTTGGAAACTCTGAGGCGTCATGGTGGGCTTGTGAACTTGGAAGAATCCGGTTTAATGGCGTGGAAAAGTTTCAAATTGCAGTACATATACCAACGCATGTCAACATCAAACGGCTTTTGCCTTCAGATTAGTGCACTGGAAACAAATCAAAGCTGGCAGGGGTTAAACCAGATGTGAGATCTGTGTGTGGAACATCACACCGGATTCAACAGGAAGAGACACGAGTAAACAACCTCTTCACTGTATTGCATCACACACATAGGCCTACAATGTATTACAATTATACTTTTGAGGTGAAGTACATCAAGTTTGTGATTCTGAACAACACATCTGATAGCAGAAATGTTTTTTGAGGCTATTTTATACACAATCCCACCATTTGTGAAGCTACGGTTCATCTCTAATCACCAATTCTCTATGTTAAATTGACATTACAAAACGGGGGTTGTCATGTTAGTCTAAGTTTAATATATTTATTTAATGCATAACACGGCTATTAAGACATGTTTTCTAGATGTATTTCAGTTTTTCATCTATTTCACTATGTCCAATGCAACAATTCAATTTCAATGTAAGCAAAGGTAAAATCATTAAAAAAAATTGTTTTATTTTCATATAATGAGTTTTAATAAGGTAAGTTTTACTCATCTTCCGTGAATTGATCATGTCATGTTCAAAATAATTTCTTATATATAAAATAATAGGAGTTTGTGTCAGTTTCCCTGTCCGGGTCTCCGCCCCTCCTGTGACATCACAGACGCTGTTCTCTTCCTGTCTCCAGTGGCGGGAAAGTGAGGCGAGTTTGCCTACTTGTTCTATAAGCTTAACATGTCACAGGCATAGAATATTCTGGAAGCGATTAGAAAATGATCTTTTTTAAAACCTGTAAGTTTGCCTACTAAATTGTCTTCAACAACCAGACCAGCCAGCTAGTCACAATTTGTTACGACTGGGGCACCCACAAAAATGATAGGACCCAAATGCACGACTCCAGACAAAAGATGATTCAAAAAAAGGATTTGCTTGTGGTGATAAAGAAGGTAACACAAACTCTCCAAATGACTTCACAAAAAACTTAACTTAGATTTACCGTAGCACAGAACACAACTGGCTGACAGACAACACAAGGGTCGAAACGATCTGGCACTTGGCACAGAGAAAACACAGAATAAATACACACACAAGGGACTCTACAGGTGCAAACAATAAGGGCGGGGCAGGTAATCAGGTCAGTGAACACACTGACAGGGTAGGAGTCAAACTACCTGAAATGAGAGAAGAGATTAACAAAGTAAAACAGGAAATGACAGACAATAAAAAAGGGTTAGCAGACGCGGACTTGACAATATTAACTAAACAGAGAAATAATACTAACAAATCTGACAAGACACAACACAATTTCTCTAATAGGCCTATGCTTACTGAAGGTCAAAATGTCCACCCTATCGGCCACTTAGGGTGGCATATACCGTTCATTTATCGATAACAACTATTATTGCAATTTATAGAATTAAAATATTTGAATTTATTATAAAAACATCCGCTATTCTGCCTAAAGTAATGTATTCTTTGCCTTCAGAAAAAAGAAAGTGAGGGATGGAGGAAATAGATATTTTTAAATGCTCTTACATTAACGCAAAAATCATTACCAAATGTTATTCAACAGCATTTCAAACTGTAAACAATGTATCAGAATGCTGGTAAACATGAAAAACTGCAGTAAATATACAAAGAATAGACACTGAACATGTATTTTTTGGTATTTTTGAGAGGAGAAGATCATTTATTGTTAAATAAATCAAAACCGAGACCAATTTTAAAGAACATCATAACATCAACAAGAATACTCGTCGGTGTGTATTAAAGCACCCAGATATTGTTCTAAACTGTATTAAAGTAAACAGGTATTATCTTGAACTGTATTGAAGTGAACATGTATTATTTGGGACTGTTTAAAGTAATCCTATATATCTAAACCTTCTTACTTACACTCCATGACCCAGAGACCCTGACACACACACATACACCTCCTGTCTCCATGCAGCACACACACACATAAACTCCTTAACCCAGATATCAGCATGCACACACACATAGGCCTCTGCTTACCAGCATGCACACACACACACACACACACACACACACATACACTTTCCCTCACTAACACACACACATGTTCTTTTTTTCAAGGTTCCTTGCTGGGAATAATCCCAAGCACCAATATATCTGTGTACAATGTTTGATTGTTTTAAAAGAATAGTTTGTGTGAAACCTTCCCTGGGAAATTAAAGGAGTTGGGTCTGGTGGAAGATAAGAAGTGGATCTCCACCCCAAATATGTCCATATATACTGTTGTTTCTTCATGCAAAATGCCCCCTGTTTCTGACTGGCTGGTCCCGATATCTGTATCGCACGGCAGTAGAGCGGGGAGCCCGGAGTGCTCTGTTACAGGGCACTCTGTATTTCGTATTGTGTTTTTTACTGTATTAAAATCAGATTATTGTTATAACTTGTATGCCGGTGTTTTTAACTCCTTTTATTAAATCTGACCAGGCTCATCTAAAGGACGGCGCGGAGCAGAGGTGGGCTTTAAGCCACCACTATTGTGTCTGCTCCTACAGTATGTGGATTTGTGTGTTACTGTGTGTCTGCCAGGTGTGGTTCACGTTGGGGGGGGGGGGGGGGGGGGGCAAACATTCCCTCCCGGACCCTGCATCCCACAGACTTTGTAAAGCCTCATTGTTTGACCGACATACTCCTGCCAGAATCAACTGACCTACAGTATGTAGGCTTGGAGTTCTACATGGACAGGTAAAAGCCCTCCACGTGTCCCCGAAAACACGCCTCGCCTCCAGGTGTCTCATCTCTAGTATAATCTTCTGAATTAACTGAGGTGGAAGCTGGACTTGAGGTCATCCACTCGTGATTGTTGCATATCGTGTTTGCCCTGGCGTCATCCTAACATAATGTTCCACCCTTGCTCTTCCTCCTCTGTCCTGGGAGGAGGAATTCAAGAGCAAGTTGCCATCCTTGGACTGCAATCTCACCTCAGGTGCCTGGTCTTCAGGTGCCTCTTCCTCAGGGGCCTCTTCCTCAAAATCAGGATCGATCTTCTCTTCCATCTCTGAGACATCTTCCTCTATTTCGGATTCCACACCAATCCCCTCTTCATCTGGCTCAAACATTTGGTATAGAACCTCTCTGACAGATAACAGTCTAATCGGTCGCTCATTGTGCTCATGGAGTAAAATGAGAGCAAGGCAAACATGTAATGAGAAATAGGGGTTTTTGTGAGAGGATATGATACATTGTTTAGTCTGCCAGGTGTGGGCACATGAGGGTGGGAAATGCATCAAATCAGTGTGTGTGTGTGTGTGTGTGTGTGTGTGTGTGTGTGTGTGTGTGTGTGTGTGTGTGTGCGTGTGTGTGTGTGTGTGTCTGCGTGTGTGCATGTGTGTATCAGGGTTTCCGTTAGCCGGTAATTACCGGTTTTTAGCTGGTAACATTTATTAAAAACCGGTAAATTCAAAACCTGCCGGTCAAAATGTCTGGTAATAATTAGAGATGTTCTGATCGATCGGCTGCCGGTCGTTATCGGCCGATATTCACTCTTAATAGTTTGATCGGTGCTCTCTATAAAGGCCGATCAGGAGAGCTGGATCTGATCGATATGGACATAAACGCGAGTGAAGTGTAACCGGACGAGAGAGAGATCAGATCAGCTGCTGAGTCTGATGGAGACACGCAGCTCTGTATGATCACCTGAAGCCCTGCCCACTGTTTAGCGAGCTGCATGAGAAACTGACGGGCTGTCAGGAGAGAGATGAATCTGAATTTTTCGACGTTACGATTATAAACTGAAGCAATATAATAATGAGCCCCATTAACTGAGTTTTAAACATCAGCATATCCGGTCATAGTCCAGTAATGACCTGCTAACGGAAACTCTTATTGTTATTATTATTATTGAAACATGACCGGTAAGTTTCAAATTTGTCCGGTAAAATAAATTCTGTCCGGACATTTGACCGCTAAGAAAAAATCCTAGCGGAAACCCTGGTGTGTGTGTGTGTGTGTGTGTGTGTGTGTGTGTGTGTGTGTGTGTGGTGTGTGTGTGTGTGTGTGTGTGAGTGTGTGTGTGTGTGTGTGTGTGTGTGTGTGTGTGCGTGCGTGCGTGCGTGCGTGCGTGCGTGCGTGCGTGCGTGCGTGCGTGCGTGCGTGCGTGCGTGCGTGCGTGCGTGCGTGCGTGCGTGCGTGCGTGCGTGCGTGCGTGCGTGCGTGCGTGTGCTATTTAATGGATGGTTACCCATTCATTTCTTATGGCGGTCATCAGACCGGGAACATCATAGGTGTTACAAAGTTGACTTAACCACCCAAAATTCAATGATAGTGGTGATCAGCAATTGTATATGTTCACATGTCTACTGTTGAGGATATCATAGCCTTGATGCAATCAAATGAAAGTAGTAAATCGGTCAGTTATATCTCTCACAGGCTCCGCCCTCTACTGGACTCTATGGGTACTACCCTCTATGCAAGCATTCTCCTACTGAGACTTCTATAGACGTAGCCGGCCCCGGGGCAGGCCTACCTGAATGCGCGCGCATCTCATCGTATAAAAGGAGGCCTCGCCTCCTGACTATCGTCCCTTTCTCTTCAGTGAAATGGCAACATCTGAAGCAGAGATAAGACGTTTGAAAGAAGAAGAAAGAGTTATCATACCTCCAGGAGACCAGGGCCTGTCCTTCGTGCCCTGGCTTAAATAGCGGGCGCCGATCCCCACCACCTCTACTTCGAGTGTTTGGGGGACCAGGATATGGCCGAGGCGGTGCCATTCACGTTCGCCATTCCTTCCGGGTCCGGCGTCCATGGAAGTCCACCGCCCAGGGCTGTACTCTCTCTGGCTGATGATCATGGCGGCGGGTGTGTGGGCTA